AGCACCGGGTTCACTTCGGCGACTCCAGCCCCCTGAACAGTCATGACGAGGAAGTTGCGGAAGGTCTTTGGCAGGATGAGCCGGTTTTGAAGTCGCCAAGGAGAATCAACTTGTCCGCCTTCAGCACAGTCGCCAGGAGGGCGTTCAGGTCCTCATGGAATTTGTTCCTCGATTCGTCAGGACTGGTCATCGGCGGGGCGTAGACGCTGATGATGGTGGCAAATTTGCCTCCCCGGAGAGATGCGGAGGCTCATCAGGCGATCGTTGATGCCCCGCGGCAGACAGGGCAGTCGTCCCACTTTGTCGTTCCTGATGGCAAAGGCGACGCCCGCGTTCCATCGCTCTGCTTTGGGGCGACCGCTCCAGAAGAAGGTGTAGCCGGCACCCACCTCTAGTTGACCTTGCTCGGCAAAGCGGGTTTCTCTGAGTGCGGCGATGTCCACCTTGTAGCGCGCCAATTTTTGAGCCACCAGCGCCGTCCTCTGTTCCTGTCAGTTGCTACTCGCACCTAAAAGGGAACGAACATTCCAGGCTGTCAGAGTGAGCGGACATAAAGTAATAGATAATGTTCTCACCGACTAACAAATGATATCTCACGAACTTCATTAAGTGTGGTAAGCAGAACTGGTTAGTGAATAATATTGAGATTGACGACGTAAAATAACCTGACGGCAGAGTAGGACAGCGGAGCACGACCGCGAATCGGGGTTGTTTAGCCGAGTTGTTTTCGTCACGTTAAAACAAGCAAGTCGGCATATGAAAACGGGACCAGATTGTCAAAGTCAAATTAGTCTGGTACTTCGCCACAGTACCCCCTCCGAGAACAGAGGGCGACGTAAAAAGGCTCTGCAGGATATGCACCAGTCTAGAATAATTGCGTAAATAAATGATCAGGGAAGTGGACGTGACGGCCATTGTGAATGTTAGAAGCAGGAGGTACAGTTGAAGAGGGAGGAAGTATGTGGGACGGTGCGACAGACGGCAGGGGAGGAATGGAGAAAGGGGTAGGGAGTTTGAAGGAGCACGGGCGAGTGAGGATGGAGGGACAGGGGGTAGGGCATCAGCACATTTTTGTCCTCGGGGCGAGTCAGGCGGCTCCTAGCAACAGCAGCCTTGACCCGATCGATACCGACCGGGTCCTCCTTGTCATTGCGAAGATTCCGGCAGATCTTGGTGTTGCTTGCGAGCATACGGAACTCTTCATCATATGATGAGTCCAGCTGCTTGCGCACACGGCCACACCGGATGAACATATGAGTGCAGTTGTCCAAACCTTTTCCGACGTAAGAATCGGTTGTTAGATTTCGAGGTGAAACCGGGAAAAGCGAGCGCATAAATTGCGGCAGACAGTGCACAAAATTGTCAGGGGTCTTGTCGGTATCACGGGGGGTTGGAGTAACCATCTCGTCTGGCAGTCGGAGGATAGTGCCGGAAATCAATTCAGCTGCGCTAGAGCCCAAATTTGGGAGAGTGCAAAAAGCAGGTTGTCTGACTAGTTTCCTGGATCTTCTGCGACACGCGGGACACCCTTTAGCTGTAGGTGGGAACGCTTAACCAAAGAGTAGAAGAAGAGAGCAGATTCAAACTGGGCACTACGATCAGTCATATCCGCGGATGGGGCACCGAAAATGACGACTCAGCGACTGACGAAGGCCTTCGCGATAGTTTTAACCTTAACATTCGGCAAAGACATGTCTTCTGCCCAGCGGGATGTACCGATAAACGCAGGTAAGAAGGTGTGTGTAGCCATTGGATGGAGGCAAGGGGTCTACGACACCCAGATGCACATGGCTCAACCGTGCGTCGGGACTGGGGAATGTACCTGGTGGGCGCTTGTTGTGGCATTGCACCTTGTTGCGCTGGCGACTCAGACACGAACGCACTCAAGCTTTGACGTTATTGTTCATGTCAGGCCAGACGAACCTTTTCCCGAGGAGCTTTTTTGAGGCTGGAATCCCAGGGTGGGAAAATACATGGCAGTTTGGAAGACAACTCGACGCGGGCAGAAAAGGGCGATGAAAAGTGTTGGGAGTGCCTACACTCCCAAAAACAAGAGCCAGCCAATCACGGGAGGCCACGTGCGTTTTCTCTACTGCGCTGTCATCTTACTCGTGGCGCCTCTCCACTGGCTTTTCCTCGCGGGCCTGATCGATCAGCATATTCG